ATAAATAAATAAATAAAATAATGTTTATTTCGGACAAGTGAAACATCCATAGGGGTTAGTAAGAAAACATTAAGAATCTTAAAACTATGTTAGTACCTATATTGTTACAAGCCTATTGCTGGGAATACATCTTCGCACGATACCATGTATTATAGGTGAATCGTACCTCCCTGCAATGGTTTTCAAGATGGAGTTGGAACTGGCCCGCACCCTGCAGAGCAGCGATGCAGACTTCTGTCTGTATTACCTATTAAGTTTTTTTTTTTTCAAAAAATATTTGATATTTCATACACAGCCTTTGCCTGTCGGCCGAGTCAATTTTCCAACCTAAATTCAAGTGGAACGATATTTGTATTACATAATCTACATTTATAAAAGAAAGTCGTGTTCTTTTACACTATTTATAACTCTAGAACGGCTGAACACATTTGGCTGAAAATTGGGAGTATAGCTTCGAATCAGGAGACGGACATAGGATTACTTTTTACCGTAAATCACGAACGAGAAAGAGAAAATATAAAAAGGGATTGCGCATACGAAATCGCTGGCAGAAGCTAGTTACTTATAATGGAGACTTTTAACTAATATTTATTTAGAGCTGTAATAGTGTTAGTTCGATCAAAAAGGTAAAAACTCTCTACCAAGATGCCATATGAGAAACCATAACAAAAAAATTAGGAGGTACACCAAAAAATTTGTCGACAGTACCAAATAACTTTGAAAGCTGACTATTGAACCAATCGCCAGAAAGGCGTGAACAATCGTTTAATAAGCCAAACAATCGGCAATACTAATGAAGTTATGTTATTTAACTTACGATTTAAATTAACAACGAAATGTTAACATTCAATCTATTGTATGTTAATTTTAGGTGTTTTAATGATCTGTGACGTCATAGTTGAGGTATTTTAAAGGGTTGCTTGATGTATCATTATGTGTTGAGATTTCGGGCAGTTGTGTTTTGTGTCCTATATATAGTATATTTTTAAGAAAGAATACCTCTAAAAACCACCCCGTTTCTGCTTCTACACTTCGAGCTCGGCTTCGTATCGGCATTAACCCTATTGGGCCCCTATGTGGCAGTCTGATGGCTCCGTGAGGCGCATGGGGAACAGAACAGAACGGAACGAAACGTGTAGGTACCTATACCTCTATAATACATCTACACATTCTAGTGTCTTTTCAAAATCCTATTATCAAGGATATAAATAAAAAACAACCGGTATTTTATTGCAAAAATGCAAAAATCACGTAGAAATATAACATAATTATTATTATTTCATGTCGTAAAACTTCTCCCCAACGATATTAATTTGAAAGTGAACTGTGTGAGCGTACAAATAAAGCACAAGTTTCATTAAAATATAACTTTCACTATTAAAATCCTTCGGCAGTGAAATAACGAATACAGATTAATTATCAGTAGCCATGCTATGACTAAAGGGGCTTATCATATATATTATGTACATATCAAGCCATGCAGACCAGTATAAACGGACCGTTGATTATGCAGAAAGATCATACAAAGCTAGATCAAGATAAATTGGTAAGTATAGGTTGATGTGGCTGGCTGGTATGTATATTCATGCTATTATAGTCATGGGCCTGACAGGGAAAGTCTAAAAGTGAATCAGAAATCTGTTAGTAATTAGAATCTTTACTAATAGGTATTCTTTAGATTAACAGTTGGTTTGTTTCAACGCGTTAATCTCTGTAACTACTGGATAGAATTCGATAATGTTTGTGAGGCAGATAGTCCAATTATCAAGGAAGGCTATAGCAATATAACCTCATGCTACGATCAACAGAAACCGAGTAGCGAGTGGAACCACGCGGCAATAAATAGTATAGTATAAAAAACTACACTTCTTTTCTTAATAAAGTTTAAAACAGTAATTTTTTAGTTCTTCTTAGATACTGTTTTTTGCAAAATAAAATAAAAAGAAAATCGGCTTTTCTTTTGGTTTAAATTAAGAAGAAAAAGTGCCAGCTTCTCGTTCTTGATATCGGTTTAAAAATAAGACATTTATTTTTGCAAATCTACTCTTTTAGTAGAATGTCGTAAAAATGTACAGTTTTTTGGAAAGTAATTATTACTGTTACCTCTAGCTATCTAATAGTTACTTAACAGTTGTTTGACGTTGCTTTTTTTACGACAATTTCTTTGATAAGATAGGATTATAATAAGGTAGATTGCTAATTTTTATTTTAATGTCCGTCTGGTAGATTATTTGGCTCGATTCCCGCACTCAGCAACTCTGCTTGATCCACATATTTTTGTTCCAGGTCTGAGTGTCATGTCTATATGAACTTGTACGTTTGTAAACGCACCCACGACACAGGAGACAATCTTAGTGTGGGGCAACATTTTATAAAAGAAACTAGCGACCCGCCCCGGCTTCGCACGGGTGCAATATGCATGTATTATACATACAAACCTTCCTTAAGAATCACTCTATCTATTAAAAAAAACCGCATCAAAATCCGTTGCGTAGTTTTAAAGATCTAAGCATACATACGGACATACAGCGAAAGCGACTTTGTTTTATACTATGTATTGATACAGTTTAATCAGCCTGTCTACCACAAAACTTGCGTGTCCACAGACCCACTTGCATATAACAGTATGTATATTTAAGTAGATATGTATCGCTAAGTACACATACATACATTCATACATATATCATGTTAATAGCTTAATTATCGCTAATTAAAATACACTTGTGTGCTGTACGGAAATTATGTGTTTATTGTTTTACCGGCGATTGTTAAAAGGGCTAGGCAGAATGATTTGTTGTATTTGTGTTTTTTTTTTTATTTTATACTTTGAAATCAAATATAAAGACTGCCTCGTTGTCCGAATGGTCGCATGTGCGACTGCCGGGCAAGGGGTCTCCGGTTCGATTCCCAGGTCGGGCAAAGTGTAAATGGTCTTTTTTTAATTCTCAATAGTAGCACGGAGTCTGGAATTGTGGCCGGTATATGGCAATAGACTCACCCCTATTACTTGGGACTCATAACATAAATAGTGAAAAGTGGGTGTGACATTGTACAGTGGCATAATGTACACCTCTGCCTCCCCCTTCGGGGATAAAAGGCGTGATTTTATGTTATGAAATTCTTTAACTTCTACTATGTCGTAGTAGATCCTTAATCCTGGTAGAACTTAGATATACTCGAGGCACAATGTGTTTTTTATTGTCTCATATACCGACAGATAAGGAGTTAAAAATCCAATTGCTTTTATGAAATGAAAAGTGTTTTATTCACAAATAAAGGTTTCATTTCATTTCGGCAACGGCATGAATGCTGGCATTGTCATCATTGAAATTCCCCAGGAAAAAAAAGAATAAGTATACAATTTGACCAAATACAAGATAAAGGTTTAAAACAACATCATGAAGAGTCTTATCCTTTGATATATGGGACTTATAACACCTACCTGTTTATGGACTAATAGGCAGAATGATGCGTATTTATGTGCACATCTGTCTTGCACCTCGAGGCATTTAATTGCGAAAGCGAATAGAATATAATTATGATATTTGGTTATATGTCGAAAAGTTAAGTGCAGTATTATCATCAATCTTATTTCCAACGAAATAAAAGTCAAATTCCTTTGCTTTTACTTTTAACCAAAGTTGTAACTTTTAAATCGGACATTTTTTTTTTAATCAAAAATCTTTTTAGCGGCTTTTATCACTTATATGTCAGCCCCATCGTACCCTTTACATTACTTTACGTACTTTACATTACTTGACTATTACATTTTCCTTAGGTACTCTAGAGAATCACTTGATTAATTGTTATTCGTGGAGGACCAAAATCAAATAGCACAACTTTTTCATAATCGCTGAAGATGGTACAGATAAAATGGATTGTACAATGCCTACATCAAATTTATTTATTTTAAGATCCTTCACGGATATCTCACGTTCTACTTCTTTCCAAATCGGACATCAAGTTCCAGGTTTTATGCTCAGCAGTTACTCTTACAACGATTACACCAATCATAAGATAATAATAAGAATCAACACATTTAGACAAAGCATATTTTTTTCTATAAATTACGTTTGTCTACATAATAAGACAATACATACTAATAAATATTCTAAAGACGGAAGTTTAGCAGTTTTCTCTTTAGCTCGTATTGAGTAGGAAGTATTCACAATAACTGGAATAAATGATATACTTGCCGTATTAGCATACTCGTGTTCACACAGAGTCGATCGAATTAACTATATATACCTATATATAGTAACTACAGCATGCATTTATTACACATATGTATCGACAATAACAAACGAATTCGCAAAATGAATTCCAAAGCACTAAATTCACACACATACCTATGTATATACTTTCAAACACTACTTTAGCTACACTATGTGTTTAATTATCTCCTAAATCTCCCAGCACTAATACAATATGCCCCACAAACCACAACGAAGCAAATATTTCCCCACAAGATCAATTAACCCTAAAATTCCATTCAAAACTATACGCGGACCAAACAATCTTAATCCGCAAAAACCGGCCTATCCATAGCCATCAAAGAAATGCGAAACGGCCCCAAAAACTGCCATATTGACATTCGCAAACGACAATTTCTTCACTTTTACTCATGTGAAAGTTAAAATATCTGACTGCAATTAAAACTTGGCCTGGTTTCCGTACATTATCCTTGAGAAAATGTACGATTCTGTGCTTAAAACTAAGGTTACAATCACATCTAGAATAGGGTTAATAACCTTCTTCAAAGCCCCCATCTTCGATAAAATTTTATTAAAGTTGCTTCATTATTTGACCTTCAATTTTATGCTTAAACAATTCTCTTTAGAGAAAATATCTTACACACACACTCAACTTAAGTTCCGTCTAAGTTAACTGTACTAAGTTCACCGTACAACTCAATGCGAGGCGACGTTAACTTAACACCAACAAAAAATGGTCGACCAAATCAATTTAGATTAAAAAGTTAAAACCTTGTAACAACTAACCTTTTCAATCCACAATAGTAATCCCGGAATCAGCAGATATTTATACCAAAAAAACACTTGAAATATTTCTTAAAATATGTTTTAACACTGTCCTTGCGATTAGGACTTTATTTCACAAAACTGGAATGTTTATTTTACTACAAAATTATTGTGTTTAAAAATAGTACAAACACAGTTAGCGACACTAATTAATTGAATTATTTTATTTTATTTCGTTGTAAACTATCGATTACGCACGTACGTCCCGCGCGGCGGCTCGCGGCAAACTAAAGGAAGAGAAGCGAGAAGACACGTCACTCGCTGCGTCTGAGCACCTTTACTTATTTTTAGATAAACTTAACGCTCTTGATACTTTAGAAGAAATTGTAAACATTTTTATAAGACCGCGTGGAGTATTTATTATACCTACGTTTAATTTATAACATCAATATATCTGTAACATTTAAAAACTATACTATTGTTACTTTTTTGCAGAAATATTCATTGCCACGACAATTACGAATCGTATATTTTATACATTATATTTGACAGATCTTTATTCAACAGATCTTAATTATATTTTTAATACACATATAGATAAACAACATAAAGTACCATTTGTCCAATAATGTAATTAAAATAATCAGTTTTTACAACGTGTTAAACGTTTGTTTTCATCGCGTCGACTCGTAACAAACGCAATAATTCATTGTAATTAGGAAATGTTACTGACATGCGCATTTAAAAGTTAATTAACTCGCATATCATGCCTTCTATTTCCCGAAAGAGGCAGCATTTGCAGAGTTGCAGGTATTGTATTAATTATTAGCTTTCCGCACACGGCTTTAACTGTGTAATAAAAGGAAATAGGTGCCTATTGGCTTCTTAACTCAAAATCTCTGGATAGATCTCCGTTCTTGACAGAAACACTAAACAACACATAACATCACGCCTTTTTATCCCCGAAGTGGTAAGCAGACGCGCATATTACGGCACTTATTGCCACTGTACAATATAACACCCACTTTTCACTATTTATGTTATGAGTCCCATGTAATAGGGGGTGAGCCTATTGCCATATACCGGGCACAATTCCAGCCTCCGTGCTACTACTGAGGATTCTTTGAAACCGTAGTAATACTTTGACTGACACGGGAATCGAACCCATACCTGGCAGTCGCACTTTCGACCACTCGGCCAACGAGGAAGTTTGGCTGAGGCAGACACTACACAACTAACTAAGGGCCAATTTTCAATCATCAGTTAATTCCTAACTGAGGAATAACTTTGAATTTTTGACAATTCTTCCATACTAGAAACTGTCATATATTTCAATTTTATACATAGTACCATGCCCGGCTCAGAAGCCTCTGTTCAATCAAACACTTTACTAAAAGAAGCAGTGGAAATAGTCACATTATATTATTAGAATTCGTCCTTGAACCTACAATATTTGGCTTCTTTAATTAGTAACCATGTTTTAATGCTTAAACAATAATTACATTAAGAAATCTTACAAGGTCGGTCACTGATTTTAGCCGCTATAATATTAAAGTTGTAGGTAAAAGGTTAGTCTTTTCAATCTTTTCAGCTCACGGGTCAATAATGATTTGCAACTGTATTGGACATTGGTACCTGTAAGTGGCAAAATGATTTGGAATTGGATTAGATTATAGACTACCAAATCAATAAGGGTTTAAGAGATTTCCAAAGACACGAAAATCAACACAAACTTGCGTATCACTACATAGTATAAAACAAAGTCGCTATCCGCCGTCTGTCTGTCCCTATGTATGCTTAGATCTTTAAAACCACGCAACGGAGTTTGATGCGGTTTTTTATATGTATAATACATGCATATTACACCCGTGCGAAGCCGGGGCGGTAGTTTATAACAAAGTAAACATTATGCATTAAAATGTAACTACCCTCCAAAAGTCACTCTTTAAGTTTGTAACACATATGTACGTCAATTTTGTTAAAATCAAAAGTAACTGGAGTGGAAAATGTTGTATTCTAAAAGTGTGATAACCTTAATGTTCTTATTGTACGCTTCAATGCCTAAACCAATTTAAGTGATTGTAACTAACGCATAATTTCATTAAAAGTGGCAGGTACTTGAAAATATTACAGCATGCATGTAAGTGCCTTTTATTTCCCAAACAGGTTTTTTTATAGGATAAACCGGTAAACGAGCAGACGGGTCACCTGATGGTAAGCAATCGGCGTCCATGGACACCAGGAACACCAGAGGCGTTACAAGTGCCTTACCGACCTTTTGGAGACTAGGAATTTGAGGATTATTTTGGGATTCAGGAATTTTGGAGATTGGGGAAGTAGAGGGGTCCTCCATCTGATTCGTTTCCTTGTGTGATCCCTTGAGATTTTTGAACTGAAATTAAGAAAAGAAAACAACGAAAGCGTTGTTTCACGTCTGTTTTTCTGTGAGGACGTGGTATCACTCCGGTCGAGCCGACCCAGATTCGTACTATTCAGAACTTGGAAATTGTTAAAAACAACCAAACTACTGGAGTAACCAAACCAATACCGGAATAACATTTTTATAATAATAGGGAGTCTAGAAATGTGCTCGGGTATATGGCAATAGCCTCTTTCTCACTCTCACTTACTTAAATTAGACGCGTAAGAAATCTCATAAAAAATTAACTAATTTTTCGAATCATGCAAGTATCAATACTACTCGCCCGCCGTACACAACATCTCGCGTCCCCGATATTTGTAAGAACACCTCTCTACGCTCCACCTAACTATTCTACATTCATGCGTGCCAAGAGTTTGGCAAACTAACCGAAATGTATCTATACGATGTGAGGTAAGCAGGAGTCGAGGTGTATTTATGTAATAAAAGTAAGTTGAGTGCTTGGATTGTCCTGGTTATTATGATTGATAATGTTGTTTATTGTGTATTTGTGTATTTATGTATTCGTAGATATTGGAACTGCCTCGTTGGCCGAGTGGTCGCAAGTGCGACTGCTGGGCAAGGGGTCTCGAATTCTCGGGTTGAGCAAAGTATTATTGGGTTTTTAAAATAATCGCCGTAATGTGCACCTCTGCCTACTGCCCCTTCCGCTATTAAGTACAATGATACCTACATATGACATCTATGTAGTGAAACTATATATTTATACGTATATATTATAGGTCTACTTGTGAATACCTCTTAGTGGACTAAGGTACGTTATGATTTCTCCTTGTTGACTTGAAGTTTGACTCCACTTAAAGATCAATAGCAATTTTATTTTAAGATCTTCTAAACTTAAAAAACATTAACAAACTTCGCTAAAAAACAGAACACACAGAAACCTGAAACGTAAGACCTAACAGGTTTTCAAAAATATTTTATAACCAGACCTGGAATCGAACCCAAATCACGTCTATTACCATCTTGAACCACTACAGCAACGACCCAGTATTAATTGGAATTCATAGTAGAAATACCAACGACCCAACCTGTCGGGCCTCTTCAAAAACTTGTTACAAATCGAATATTTTAAATTAAACGACATTTTTCCACTTCGAAACTATTTTTATTGAGATTGAGACTATAAAAATTTTCTCTATGGTTTTATTTTTATTATCTGTGATTTAACTGTCTATGGTCGTTTGAGGATGTAATTGTAGTGTTTATGGTTTGTTAATTTATCAATTAATTAATTAAGGGCAATGCCGAGTTTAGGAATGCTGTAAGGCAATTAGGAATAATGGCGAAACCGTTACTTAGAGACGGTTGCTATTCGATGAGGTTAACTTATCCCACTTCTTCTTAGTCCATCTCTTCATTACTGCAGGTCGTGTATAGTCTGGTGCACGCGTCACTTGATGCACAAGCCTCCTCCAAACGCCCGTGTCCTCTGCGGTCTTTATAGATTGTGGAACTGTCAGGCCGGTGAGGTTTTTACAGCATCCAACCACCGGGTAAGTGAGCGACCATGAAGTCTTTTCCTGTTAACCTGACCAACAACCACAAGATCCTCCAGATTGTTGGGGTCTCCACGCGCAACTTATCCCATAAAGAACCAGAAAACCCAATTTTAAAATGAGGTTGCATCAACGAAAATTCCTTACCAATTGCTTAACTTACTCGAAAGATTTTAAATTAAAACGATCGTATTTCTTTTACCAAACTACTTATTATATTACATCACAAAGGCGGAATCCATCAATAACTTGACACATACTTGCTGCATAATTGTATATCCGTCTGTCATTACGTAACCTCCTAAATATGACTTGCAAGTGAGTGTGGACGTACAAGAGATTATTTTGAAGGTGTTAAGTATGTCAAAGGGCATTTAAAAGGTCTAAGCCTGTAGCTTGTAGCTTTTATTGTATTTTTACCCGGCTTTTTTTTTATGGGGGAAAATCATCGAATTACTTCTCCCGCCTAGGTGAGGAAGGAGGGAGTGTCAGACTCTTAGTGACTAAAAACCACCCCGTTCCTTCTCCTGCTCGTCGAGCAGGAGCCCCGGTAACCCGTTAGGTTCTCATACATCACAGACTAGCTGAACGGGTCAGCAGTTGTTTTAACTTAACCGACGACATTCCGAATCTGATATTGCCAGCATCAAAAAATATAGAACACATAATCGTATACGACAGTTGTCACACGCGTGGGCCGATTTTTGTGAACCAAAGAAAGTTGATATGTGTGCCACAACCTGCCCAAAACCGGTCCGGATCGTCCCGGTAACCGGACAGCCGGTGACGGTAAAACGGCTGACAAATTATTATAATTTATTAGCACACTATCAAGATTTTACTAATCGATTCGTTTTTTGTTAAATCGATACTGTTTAGTTTGTGTGTTTTTATCGATTTGGTGTCAATTTTTCGATTTTTATTGTTTTACATTTACAGCCATTGCCACAGAAGTGGCCACTGCTGACCAAAGGCCTCTTCTCGTTCGAAGAAGGTTTGAGCATTAATCGCCACGCTTGCTCAATACGGGAGGGTGAGTTCAAACTTATAATTAGAAATTATAAGACCAGGTTTCCTCACAATGTTTTCCTTGACTATTTGTCACATACAATCGATATTTTACTAATCATTATGATTTTGTTAAATCGATACTATTTACTTTTTGATTTGATAATTAATTTTGATTTGATTGATAAGCTGTAATATCATTATATTATTACGATTTTTAATTGTTATCGTGGTTCAAAGATTACTATGAAAGATAACATTGGTACCTTGTACTAAAAAGTGCATATTTATCTTTGTTTTTGAGGCTGTATAAGTAAGCA